CATACATACATACATACATATATCGACTTTAATTGGTTGGAAGATATATATGTAGAACTAAATGCGTTGAGTTAGACGTATATCTATATGACTATATCTACACAAAAATAAGGTCCACGCTGCCAATGTCCAGGGATTGCTGAGGACTATACCATGGGGGCAACTGGTACTTCTCAACATACGAACATTCACTATGACAATCGTACACACATTCTCAATCACTCAATAACTTGTCACACTCACGCATATGTTTTGCCGTGTACACGGACGTTCCAACCATAGCACTATCGCTTTGAATGATACAAATAACTATTATAATAAACGCATATACACGGTCAGTCACATGAACATAGCTCCAAGTACTTTCGAACTTGTGCAATACGTTTTACGTTGTTATCACTAAACATACAAATCGGCGTCATGCTTATCAACAAGCAAACACCTTTGTTGATGCTCGAAAGCACATACAAACGCTATCGCCCACGCATTTAAACATATACATACAAATATACGTATACGTATTCATATTCGTCTTTGCTTAATACAGACATACGTTTTCGCTTACACCCAAGTAAGTGACCGTTCGAACTGAGGCCAAGAATTCCCCTGCAATTGTATTTGCATTGTCCATCGACAACAACGCCTTGGCTTCCACCTGCGCGAGTACAAGTCAGAAGATGAGCACGTGTGTGCATGTATGAATGCGTATGAGTGCGTACGAGTGAGTGCGAGTGAGTGTGTGTAAGTGTACGAGTATGACTATGGCTATGACTATGAGTATGTGTATGTATATGTGCATGTGTTTGTCCATATGTATGTGGATGTGTATGTGTATGTGGACGCGTAAGTGGATGTGAATATGTACGTGGATGTATATGTGAATGTGTATGCATATGCGTGTGTGTATATGTATGTGCAAGTGTATGGGTATGTGTGCGTATGTGTGTGTATGTCCGTATGTGTGTACGTGTGTAAGTGTATATGTATGTGTGTACGTGTGTAAGTACGCGTGTATGTATATATATGTATGGTGTGTGTGTGCATAGCGCTTGTGTGTGTGTCTACATATGGTGCATAGCAATATGAACCCGAGCTCCACCGATATGACATACAACTTTTTTGATACTCACTGAAACACAAATTTTGTTCGTCGGTTTTGGGACGCAATGAAGTGACGAACAAAGCCGTTCGCCCAATTTCTTTCGATTTGGGACTTTTAAGACCCAAATAACACTACAATCATACCGTTCTGGACAATCTGATTCCCAAATACGCTGCAAGGCCTGTGGCTGGTATAGTTGCAAACATAACCGCCGCCAATTGAGCGCACGAGGCAAATCCAATTGCAACTGCGGGAGTTTAATATCGAGGGAAACGGTAAGGTGCTTGCTTTTATAATGACTTGGTGATATCCTTCTTTGCCTGTTGTAGGTCCGCATACATTGCTCTGCTGCATACAACAAATGAGCATATATATGCGGTGCTTATCAGTCTATATCCTTGTATATATGAGTTCGGGACATATTCAATGAAAGTATACGTATGATCGAACAAATATACGCATATCAATTCCATATACGCATATCAAAAAAACATACGTATGTCAATCACATACACGTATATCAAATAGATATACGCATATCAAACAAGGTACACACATATCAATCAAATATACGTATATATCAAGTACATATACGCATATCTAATACATATACGCATATTGAGCAAATAGACGCATATCAAATACATATACACGTATCAAACAAATACACGCACATAAAACGAATATGCGCATACCGACCACATCATATTACACAAATACACGCACATCAAGCTCACATACCTGAAGTCAGTACGGTGGTGAACATCATCGTCTGAGCTATAATCACACCGCCAGTCAGATTGGAGACATTCGCGGCATCTGTCGAGAGATTCACTGATAGAGCACCCACACTGTGTTCCTCTTGGTCGAAAAACCCAATATCCTGCATTTGGTAGGCAAATCAGGTTTCAAAAATGTGGGAATATGCCTATATATAGGCCCATTTTTTAACCCACCTTCGGCCCTGATATGTACACAACAGGGAAAGTATTTCAACATCCGTCGAATATTATATTTATTATCCGACACCCATAGGTGTTTGTCAACTCACAGACACAGTCAGCACTTGGCGCTACTGTACTTACCGTTCTTTTCTCCCCTTATCGTTTACATTCACATATAATCAATCGATCCCCATACGCACACGGGGTTAGAGATATGTACACAGATAGCCCATACCTGTCGCATCAACGACCTGAAGGTCTTCTCCCGCAATCGTCGGGTGAGTTTCTCGGCCACATAGCCGTTGGCCGTGTGCATGAAGAAGTTGGACGCAAAGGCAATGCAGCCGATGAGAAAGAACAGCCACACGTAGAACATCGAACGTTCGGTATCCTGTGCGTGAGTCGTATTGAGAAGTGTGTGGGCACAAGCATGAATTAGGAACAAAAAGGTCTGTATATTAATACTGAATTCTGTGTTTGTATGGCAGGGACGTACTTGGATTGTGCACACAGACAACCGAAGGAAGGAATAGGCAAGAATGGTATGGAATAGTCTCACATCAAAATGTACATATGTATGAACCTATATGTGTCAATAGCAGTGCAAATGTGCTAAAGTATACGCACAGGTGATAATATATATAGATATATATATATATTATAAATATATATATATATGCATATATATATATATATATATATATATATATATAATATATAGCGTGGCTAAGTTGTCCGCAAAAAAGTATTTATTTATTGACCGCCTAGATAGTATTTATAAACTATCTAGAGTAGTATATAGATATATATACATTCACAGCATACACGAGAAGAGAACCAAATGCGATACATCATAATTCTTGTACTTACATATTAAAAGTGTGTGTGTGTGTGTATGAACCTACAGCCTCCTATATATATATATATGTAAATATATATGTATTTATATATTTATCTATCTATAAATATATATATATATATATATATAATAAACAAATATATAGATATAGATATATATGTGTGTGTGTGTGTGAGTGAGTGTGTGTGAGTGTGTGTGTGAGTGTGTGTGTGAGAGAGAGTGAGAGAGAGAGAGAGAGAGGGAGAGTGTGTGTGTAAGTGTGTGTATATATATACAAAAATATAGGTGCACATGCAAATATATATGTATATTTATATTATATATATATATCGAAGTACTTACCACTGTGATGAATACCCACAGCATCTCTCCGAAAGCAAAGGCGAACATCGGCCACATAGCACCACTGATTATGGCACAAACGAAACCAACGAACAGAAGCCACCACTCGGGACGCTGAATCATGATCACCTTAAAAAAGTGCTGGAAGTTCGTATAAAGATAGTCATACAAGTTAGAAGCATGTTTTGTCTCATGAATCACGTTAATAACACTTCATAAGGTGATGTAAGTTGATATAAGGATAGAAATCCAAGCCAGAATCGAACTTTGTCATTTTGAAAAGTGCTGTAAGTCGGTGGAAATGGGTGAAGAGAGGTAGATATACAAAAACCCTAAAAGACAGGAAAGAAAAATACAAGTTAGCAACATGACTTTGTCATATGTTCATCCATACGCACGACACCAGACTCGCCAAAATAACCACGAGCTAAAGTACTACACATATGCACTGAAGTACAACTCTCACTCACACACACACACACACCCATACACAAACACAAACACACCCATACACACACACACACCTCTTCCCGGCATATGCACTGAAGTAAACACACACACACACACACACACACACACACACACCTTCTCGGCATCCTTCTCCTCGGGTGTTTTCTTGGTCGTGCGATTGAGTTTCTTGAGCATGATCTCGTCCTCGTTCTTTACCAGCTCCAACGCAGCACGCTCCTCTTCGCGAGAGATTGTCGCCTCTACGATAGTAATTGCGGTCTGTGTGTCGTCTGTATGAGTGGAGGTAGGTATATAGCTATTAATAGAACGGCGTAGATAGCTACAGATATAGAAAAAGCTTCCAATGACCATTGCGGTCTGTGTGTCGTTTGTATGAGTGGAGGTAGGTATATAGCTATTAATAGACCAGCGTAGATAGCTACGGATATAGTAAAAGCTTACAATGACCATTGCGGTCTGTGTGTCGTCTGTATGAGTGGAGGTAGGTATATAGGTATTAATAGACCAGCGTCGATAGCTACATATATAGTAATAGCTTCCAATGACCATTGCGGTCTGTGTGTCTTCTGTATGGGTGGGGTAGGATGTTGATGTACCGATAAACAACTACACGCACAAATTTGTTTATTAAAATAAACCTGTCAATGATCCAATACACCTGTCGATGAAATGGAGATAACGAATGCGTGCGCTGAGTGCTGTGATACACATAGAACAAGGCGTGCCTAAATACCCCTGAGCGTCTCGACGGAAAAACTAAGTTTACTCATCGTGTTACTTTAAAAAAAAAATTGCCAATAATTCAATATACCTCTCGATGTGGAGAAACTCGTCTCGGAGATAAAAGATGAGTGGTTTGATACAATATACCAGGGGTGCTTTGTGTGAAATAAGCTCTAGCATCCTGACCAACAAAAACCCCAAGTTTATCCATTGTTCTAATAATAAACTTATCAAAGATGCAATATACCTGTCAATGAGGTGAAGCTGGTCTCGGAGATAATGGATGGCTTGCGTTTGTTTGGAGCGTCACCTTCCTGCAGCTTAACAAAGTCTGCGTACTCACCCCCTTTCGCCATCAACTCCGCGTGTGATCCGGACTCCAGAATCTGTGGCAGAGTACCCCCCGTCATATGTCAGTAGATAGATTTTTAAGTTTATCTTGAGACAGAATGAGAGAGTGAACTGAAACGGACATGTGGCTATCGCGTCATATGTCAGTAGATAGATTTATAAGTTTCTCATGAGAGAGAATGAGAGAGTAAACTGAAACGGACAAGTGGCTATCACGTCATATGTCAGTACATTAAGATACACCAATACACGAATCTGGATCTGTGGCAAATATATATATATATACATATGTATATATATATATATATATAAATATATATAAAGATAGATATATATATACATGTATATATAAAATACTTATATATAGATTTATATAGATATGTATATATAAATATATACATATAGATAAGTGTGTGTGTATATGTGTGTGTACACACATATAATATATGTATATATATATATATACATAACAAACATTGAGTTATTTGCTGAACACGCATGTATACTTTCAGACAAATTTTCGACACATCCAGGATTGGCTCTATTGCCGTGAGTGTGCTAAGTAATCACATATACACACTTATAAGCACAAACACATATTCGCGTTTCATCGTGCCATATATAACACATCTTTTATCCAGGGCGACAATAGTGCCATTGATAGTCGTGAGGTTGTGTGCAATAAATACAGTGGCGCCCTTTCAACTTGCGCATCATCTACACACTCTCGCATATTCCAGACATGTGTGTACACGTACAAGCACATTCACATGGCATCTTGGCTAAACCCTCATAAACCCTAAAACCGCTAAACCATATATCCCTAAATTTAAAAAAACCTAGTTATAAAACACGCCACTCCCTGATCTGAGCACACCTCAGTGTTGGTCTTTCTCACAGCAGTGCGTCTGCTTGCAACAACTACAGGTGTGCATACTCTACTAGTACTCGCAATTCGACTACTGTCCGACTATACACAACACTACTCCTCTCGACACTGCCATACATCCAAACTCTCGTTGCCGTATGGTAGTATCACCCACCTGTCCTTGGTCCAAGAATACAATGGTGTTGGCTTTTCGGACTGTCGTGAGTCGGTGGGCAATTATTATAGTAGTGCGACCCCTGCTTGCTTTGTCCAGGGCTGCCTGCACTACCGCTTCACTCTTCACGTCCAACGCCGATGTGGCCTCGTCCAACAGCAGGATCTGAATAAAGGAAAAAATCTCACAGATTAATTGGCGCGTAAACCTGGTTTATTCCGAGCGTATATGTCAGTTTAGACTGATTCGCGCGTGCTTTACTTTGAGTATACAACACCGATGTTGCTTCGTCCAGCAGCAGGATCTGAATGAACGAACGAAAATTCCACAGTTTACCTGGCAGTTTATTCCGAGAATAGACGTTAGCTTGGATTGATTCGTACGTGCCTTACATATTCCATACAGTACCGAACTTGCATCGTCCAGGAGCTGAGAGAAGTGTTGCTAGTGTGTCCATGATGTTGTATCATCGTTCGCCATGCATGTATAAACACGCCCAACTTCACGTACAGACACAGACACGAGTGTCACATATACACATATGTAAGGACACAGCTATATGAGAGCTCTTGGACCACGCATGAACGCTCGTGCTGCTATGCACTGCTACTGTGCCCCACTGGACATCTCTCACTCGCACGCATTTGTGTTTTGGAAGTATGATATCCATATACACAATATCGCACACAAGACCTTAAACACATACAAACATGTGAGAATAAATATATCCATGTATATATATATATTTATATAAATATATACCTTTGGATCGCGAATAAGCGCTCGGGCGATAGCAATACGTTGCTTCTGTCCACCACTCAGCATGCCGCCTCCCTCGCCTATCTGTGTCTGGTAGCCGTCCGGCATGTGGCAGATAAAGTCGTGCGCATTGGCCATCTCACAGGCACGCTCAATGTCGTTCTGGGTCACCTCCTGGTGTGGCAATGCATATGAATAAGCGTATTTTGATGATGTACCGTAATGTTATCGCAATATACCAATGTCAGATGGGAATATATCGTATTCAGATTACTTCAGACCATATCATACCTGAGTCAAGAAGCGTCTGTTGTGGAAGACATCGTGCGGATAGTCTTGATCAAAATCGGGATTGGGGACGAGTGCAGCGCCCATGGCAATATTCTCTGCGATAGTGCCGGCAAATAAAACTGGTTCCTGGCCCACATAGCCGATTTGTCCACGCATCCATTGGATGTTTAGCGTCCGCACATCTCTCTGTTTGTGTGTGGGTTGTTGTAAGAGAAGTATATATCATTGCCAGATCCGATTTGTTCCCGTGTGCAAATCTTTGTGTGCGTTTGTATGTGTGTTATTGGAAGTGATATAGACATCATTGACACACCTAATCTGTTCATACATTCATTAAATTTTTGGGTAAGCAAATCACTATATATATATATATATATATATATATATATATATATATATATATATATAATATATAATAGTAGTATGTAGTAGTAGTATATGTATATACAAC